CTCCTCTCCTCTCCTCTCCTCTCCTCTCCTCTCCTCTCCTCTCCTCTCCCCTCCTCTTCTCTCCTCGAGAAGGTGGACAACAAGGCCAGTTAGATCCCAGACCTCTGGTTCTGGAGGAACAGGAGCAAGTTCTGGCCCCATTGGCCAGCTAGGCTCTCTGAAAACCTGTGTCTACAGGGACAAGGTCTCCAAACCAAAGCTGAGGGGGCAAGGATGGCCTACACTGATGTTTATTCATTTCTGTGCTGCTGGTCTGATCACCTAATGAATCCACCTCCATCCTAGAATTGGCACCAAGTGAAGGACACCTGATACGATTGGTGCAGCTGGGTTCTAGGCCAGTGGTCACCACCTCCCTCCTGTCCACCCTGCGTAGGTCGAGGCGAATTCTCAAAGACACAGAGATGATGCCCGGCTAAGCAGGGTAGGAGGAGGAAAGGCCTTTCTTCACTTCTATCCGGAACCAGAGAGGGGGAGGGGTGGTACTTGGGACAGGGGCTGACGCCGTCGCCTGTAGAGGGCGCGCGCTCCCCACAAAGTTCGGGCCGCTGGACTTTTGAATGATGATGAGGAGAAGGGCGGAATCCCCCACTGTCCTGGGCTGTCCGGAACTCAGTCGCACAGTCTACAACCCCTGCTACTCAGAGTAACCACCAGCCGATCAGTCTCTGGCCCACAAAATGAAAGTCCAGGCCTCAGCCTACTGCTTCTTACTACTGTCAGCCAAATTTCCCTTGATGGCACTGAGAACCCCTTCGGGCTCCTACCTTGGGCTCCTGCTGTATCCGAGCCGCCCCTGGCCTGCAGGACTTTTTGGTGAAAAGAAAAAAGCCGTGGATGTATCCGCAGAGAGCTGGGGCAGGCTTGCATACCATTGTCACAGCACCGGGCCTCGTCAGAACCGCGTGCTGTGAGCGTCCAAGAGTCAGGGGGGAAAAACGGCTCTACGCAGAGCCATAAGTATTCTATTCAACCCGTGTTTGTGTTGGGCCAGGCTCAGCTCCGGGCAGCGGCTCTGACGTGTCCTGCCAAAGAAGACTGATGGAGGGAGATCCGTCTGAGCGAAGGCTGTCTGGAGTCAGGGGTCCCCACACCTGGTCTTTGCTCTCAGGGAGAATATATTCGGAAAATTCGCGGAGGAAGCTCTGAGCTCAGGTTAAAGTTTGTGATGACCAAAGAAACGGGAACTCCCTAAGGTTCAGTGAGGGATTCCAACCTATACTTGGGGAAGGGGCTACTGCTGAAGCCACCAGACACAGTCATCCACTGCCTTCTTGGGTCCCCGATGTCCATCGCCCTCCAGAGGGCTCAGCAAAGAGCTCGCCCGGCCTAGAGCACCTTGAGGTAGCCTAAGAAACAGACCTTAGACCTCTTGGCGTCTGAGACAAGCTGACCGCTCAACGTCCGAAAGCACTCGACTCCCAATGACCCTTTGTGGCAACCCCGGACCTCAGACGTTGACCCAGAGCCTCCCACACAGGTCACTGAGCCGGAGAAGGAAAGTGGGGAAGGCTCTGCCAACCACTGCCTACTGGGCCAAGGGCAAAAAAATGTGACCCGGTCCATATTCCTCCCCTAGGGGCTCTTGGGTTCACACGGATTACAGCTTTTTCCGTAAGGGAGCGACGTCTGCCCGGGAATACGGTGATGGAACCGGGTTCGGTGTAAGGTTCTCTTTGGGAATTTGGAGTATAGGTCGCCTTTGCAGACTCCGACCCCGCCCCTCTGATGATGATAAGTCTGAAGACTGAGAACCTGCATCACCCCACGCTATGTTCCCCATCGACAGCCCCTCATCCAACCTTGGGGTATCTACCCGAAAGAACACTAAGGTCCAAGAAGCCACAGGGACTGGGGGTGGGAGCTCGGGGCTGAGGATCGGCGGCTCCCGGCTCACTAATCACATCAGCGCGCTCTGCGCCGGCTCCAAGCAGGCAGGTTGCCTAGCAATACCCGCGAATTCAATTCCTCAATCAATAGACGGAGACTCTGCATTTCGGGGAGCGCTGGCGAGGTTGGGGAGGTCTGGGGCACAAGTCCTGTGTCAGCATTGAGGAGCACGCTCGGGTCATGGGTAGTGGGTCCGCAAGTCTCCTGGGTGTCAGGTGCTATGGAAGTTTGGTGTGGGAGGATGTTTGGCACTGAGGGAATTCCTCCCTCAGAGAGAATAGAACCCAGAGGTCGCGCACACGTGTATCTTTAGGAGTCTCCGAATTCTGCCTGCATCCCAGAGAAGTTCTGCCCGCAGTGAAGACAGCTCGCGGGAAAGCTCAGAAAGGTCATAATTCGCTCCCTCCCCAACCCATCTCCCCTCGCTCCCACTGAGGTGTTTCCAAGTTGGGAACGGGCCTTTGTCGGGAATCCAGCCCTTTTTGAGAGTATGAGGGCGGAGGTAAAGGACACTAAGTCAGAGAGGCAAGTATCCTGTCCTACCAGGCTACCTCTTCCCTGTTCTGGGAAATAAATAAATAAATAAAATAATGAAGCCAAGACACGTGTCTATTTACAAAGTATATATTTAAACACATAAAAAGTGATACTGGATACAGACACATTCACAACCCAAGATAGGTACTGAGGTTTCACTCTGGAGCTGAGGCGGAGATCAACTGAAGGTTTATACATAGCTGAGAACTCTTAAACCCAACACCCACGCTCCGCCCGTCTGCAGTTGCAGACTCTGAGCCACGTGGCTCCAGACCCCTGCCCACCCCACCCCCCAAGTCAGCCTCTCAAGAGC